GTGGCGAACCGCGTGTCTCAAATCCAGAATTCTCGGACGTCTCTAAACTGGAGACATGTCCCAGGGGAGTCGAATCCCGCAGACTGCGTTTCTCGCGGCTGTGAAGCCCCCTCTTTGGTTGACCACCCGCTGTGGTGGGGTCCCAGTTGGTTGACTGAGTCTCAGTCATTCTGGCCCCAGAATAAATACTCCGAACCGATTGAATTGCCTGGCCTACGAGCCCGAGTAGGAGTGGGCAAGGATAAGCCCACTCGGGATTTCTCCCTGCTAGAACGGAACAGCTCTCTCAATAAGCTCTTAGGAGTGACTGCTTGGTTGCGTCGATTTGTCCGCAACTCGAGAGACCCGTCCAACCGAATCTCAGATTCCGTTTTGTCCCCTTTTTTTTTCGTGGGGAAATCCTCATGGATACCTTCTGCTGCGGGGGCAACAAAAGGTTATGCCAGACTCCTACCGGCTAAAACCCCACGGTGGTCACCATCAGCGTATAAGAGGAGTCCCGGGATCTCCGTTCGGAACGCAACCGGGGCCCCTCCATCGCTTTGCTTCACTAATAGCACGTCCCAGGGGCAGTACTTTCTGCCCCCAGCACCCTCGCAGTGCTTCCACGATGTCTCGAGACCACTTCCGAGACATCGTCCTCCTTGGGGGTTACATAACTAGGCGCTCGAGGCCCCCGCCCCGAGCGTTTGCAACCCCGGAGGCCCCGTTTCTGGTATGGGAACACCATTTTCAAGAAGAGGGCCGTGACGAACGCCTTGGTGACGTCGTCTCCGCGCGGGATCCGCCCTCTCCCGATCCCGCTCAGAAGCCTCCTTCTGAATCATAACAGATTCACAGAAGGTGGCTACGGCCCTCCACGCCGAATCCCCGCTCAGCATCGCCGACACAACTGCTGGCAGGGAGAGGTCCCGTCCGATGCGGTTTACCAGGATTGTACGTTGCCGTTCCCACGCTGGGCATACTGCGAGTGTGTGGGAAGCGGAGTCCTGGTCCCGTCCACCACAGTGGAAGCAGTCCGCCGTTGCCTCACGTCCAATCCTACACAGATAATCACCGAAGCACCCGTGCCCGGTAATTATCTGAGTAAGTCTGTAGGTGAGTCTTCCTGCTCGTCGCTGCATCCAGGCTTCGAAGACCGGCAGGATTGCTTCGATGACGCGTCTGCGTTCATAGCGCTCCTCGAGTCGAGAGCGCCACGACGCCAGAGCGTTTTGTCGCTCCTGCCGTTTAATTGATTCGAGCGCATCTTCTGGCTCACTACCACCACTCTAGCGAAGGGCACGGATTCGAACGTACACCCTCGCATCCATTTCCGCCAATATATCTAGTGGTGGAAAGCGAGCCAGGATTGTCGCCGCCTCAAAGGATATTGTGCGGTATCCTCGTACGATCCGTATGGCCATCCTCCGCTGAACACTGTAGATTTTAGTTCTACAGCGCCGGATGGCCAGCCTTTTTGCCCATATAGGCGCTCCATATAGAGCTACGGATCGTATAACTCCCGCATAGAGGCGACGTACTTCCTCTGTCGGTCCCCCTAGATTGGGCAGCAGTCTATGCATAGCACCCGCTACCGTTTCGATCCGGGGGACTAGGCGCTCGAAATGTTCTTCGAAGCCCCAACGACTGTCCAGGTGGAGGCCTAGGTACTTCATATACCTCCCCACTCTGACTTCAGACCCACCCACGCGGATACACGAGTCGGGTGGTTCCCTGCTCCTTGGTAATTTATGGAACCATAGGGCCTCGGTCTTGTGAGGCGCTTTGTCCCCTAGCGAGCGTCGCGAAGCTTTGATGCATTGGACCCGTATGGTCCAAGCGGAGCATTTTGAGCACGTGATTGAAACCTTGAAGCGGGGCTCGGTTGTCAAGAGCGCTCTGGCCCGTCTGAACCTCTTCCTGGACGACGCTGGGATGCTGCGCGTTGGCGGACGTTTGAAAAATTCTCAACTGCCGTACGGGGCTCGACACCCGTTACTGCTCCCTAAGGACGGCGCCCTTGTTCGGTTGCTGGTAACTCACCATCATGTTCAGAATGCCCACGCTGGGTGTAACGCTCTTTCGGCTATTTTGCACCGGTAGTTTTGGATTTTGGCTGGCCGACGCACCATTCGGAGCGTCCTCTTTAAGTGCATATCTTGTTATAAACTGAAGGCCACCATAGCGCAGCCTATGATGGGTGACTTACCACCCGACCGCGTCAGGGCCATCCGACCATTCGCTGGAATCGGAACAGACTTTGCTGGCCCCTACCTCGTCAATTCCTCCAACCTTCGTAACGCGCGTTCACATAAGGCCTATCTGTGCGTTTTCGTGTGCCTCGCCACTAAGGCCATTCACTTAGAACTTGTAAGTGCCCTCAGCACTGAAGCCTTTGTGGCCACGCTGGGCCGCTTCGTATCGCGTCGCGGTTTGCCGGACCTGATCCGGTCTGATTGCGGAACGAATTATAAGGGCACGGATAGATATTTGGAAGAGGTCGCCGAATTTCTGTCCAGCAACAGGACTTATTTGGGTACTGCGATGTCCAAGAAGGGCATCCAGTGGAAATTCGACCCTCCGGCTTGCCTGGGGCGGTATTTTTGAGGCGGTGGTTAAGGTTGCAAAAACGCATCTCCATCGCGTTATTGGCGAAACAATTTTGACATTTGAGGAGCTTGCCACTGTATTCTGTAAAATGGAGGCGGTACTCAACTCTCGGCCCCTCTGTCCCCTCTCGTCTCGTTCAGCAAAGATTGACAGATGGAAACTTCTTTAGTTAGCAAGAGTCCTTTAATCCATACTTTAAGCTCGAGACTATCACCATATTTTTATAAGACGGAATATGTTTAGAAAGCCACTAACAATGTCTATCAAATGTGGTAATGGTATATGGATGAATGCAAGGCATTAACAATTCATTTCTAAGTAATGTAACAGTGAGTTGCTAATAGTTTATTAATACCATAGTTCTGCATCGCTAGTTATATACAGGACTCATTCCTGGTCTCCCTCAGTGCAACAATCCATCGTTCAGGTCCTGACCAGCATGCATATCACACCAAAAACAGGGTATTTATTAGGAAAGTGCGGTGCGTCGAATAGAAAATAAGGATGCTTACTCTATAGTAGTAATTTCATAATGAAACAATTATTATAAGTTCAAAATATTGTTATAAATAAAATCGTGTAACTGTTATTAAATAAGTGTGCTGTTAGTAACGTATCAAAAGAACATTAAACCGGTGATTTTACTCAAGCAACTTTGCTTGGTTGTCAGAGTTCCTGGCTTAAATTAATAAATTTTCATTGGAATAATTTTGAACTACTTTCAAGTTGCATTAAGTATTTTAACTTTCAAAGTTATTCCAAATATATTTAATATTTGTTAATAAGACATTTGATTAATTTTTTAAATTTTATAAATTCATATTAAGGTTTAGTTACTGAGATTACAAAGGGATTGATATGTGCTTTAATAATTAATTCAATTAAAAGTGATATTTTAAAAGGCAGTGCACACTACTCGTAATATTACAGTGATTTATCTCTAATATAATCAAAGGCACTACTGAGGCCTCTTTTCTTTGATACTGGTCCACATTTTATTCTTCTGCTTGACTATCATTATAACATCTAAATATAAATTAAGAAAAAACATTTAATGCTATATATAATATTTAAGAACTAGTAAAAAGCGGTGCTTTGGGAGGGCTCGCAAAGTTTTCGTTCCAAATTTTTCTGAGCAGTTTCGAAATTAACGGCATACTCCAAAAAGCGAGAATTTTCACGATAAAACTCTGTTTTGATATCGTCTTCCTTCATTCGTCAAAGAACGGTTTAGTTGACGTTCTTTACTGCCAGTTAGCGTGCGTCTTCGTAGCATTTTGATATAACAATAACATCATAATAACATGGATATAATTAAAATTTCCGACATTTTTCATCAAGTTATGCTCCATTGTCCTTGTGCAATTTATGTTTGTAAACTGCCTCCACGACTCAGGAGAAAATACTTGTGTGGGGGTAACGTTTTTATAAGAAAAAAAAATTAATAATTCATAATCAGCGCCATCTAACGTATCTATCGTGGTACTATTATAAAAGTATTTTTTAGTTTTCATACAGATGGCGTTAATAATACAATAAAAATCTAATTAATGAAAATTGACATATATTATATATTTTTAAATGTGAATAAAATAATATTTTATATTATTGATAACACATCTAGACATGAATCAAAAATACTATGTCAAAGCCCAAACCTGAAAGTGTAATAGTTTCTCAATAAAGTTTACCAAAAAAAAGCATAGATTGTGGGATAGAGTAGGGCTCGCGTCGCTCGCCCTCATTACTGACCTTCGAAGCTATCACATTCAAAGAAAAACTTTTTATATTGATATTTTCATTTATAAATGCATTTTTGAACACTATATGTATTTACTTCTCAAATATTCGTAATAATAAGAACATCCTCTTATGCCCAAAATACCCAAACACTACTCAATTTTAAGATGCCGTCAAGTCTCGTGCTGTCTCTATCACTCTAAGTCAAAGTGACTGTGACAGCACTAAGCTCGCGAAATCTTAAAATTGAACAGCGTTTGAATATTAGGTCATAAAAAGTTATAAATCTAACACTTTGGTTTACTAAACTTACTAAAACTCAATACAAAAATGTAAATCGTTTACACCTATCCCACAAAAACCTACGAAAGAATAGTTTTTCTCTTTTATTTAGTTATCTAAGTATTTTTAAGTGAAATGTTTACGGTGTTCATTATTACTTTTCCATACAATTATTTCTTATCAATTTATAATAGATTTATTATCTTTTTTTACTTATTAGAGTATTACAATAATAATTTTGAACATTCATGCACAGCGAATGCAGACTTGACGTCAATATTCACTCAAGACAAATATGATTTTATATAGAAGATACTCATAGCATAGAAGTACCACATACAACTGACACTGCAACATTACACAAGTTCATTGTCTTGGCTACTGACCTCTTGGAGCAGGTCCTGTGCCGCGATCGCCTTCAGCACATTCTTCTTACTAGTCTCTTGCAGCTCACCGCCAAGCACTAGCTCGTCCAAGATGAAGTAAGCTTTTTCAAAGTTGAAAATAATATCCAGTTCGCATACCTGTGGATAAGTTATGTTGGAAAATAAATCTCTATACATAAAACTCTAAAACGGCTCGACTGATTTTAATGATTGTTTTTTGTATGTGTTTGTCCATATAAAATCAAGGACTCGTCACACACGTACGGTAGTTTTCCGTTCGAAATTTTGCGGGCATAACGGGATTCCGAATGTGTGTGGCGGACCTAAGAGAATCCATCGCCCCACTTGCGACTATGGAAAATGCCAAAGTGTTGGCGAACTTTACATGTCTTCGAAATATTTTTTTCTTATTTCTCAGACATGCAGGTTTCCTTCACCGCCGAGCACGTGGTAAAGCACGTGATAAAAACATGCTCAACATAAATCAAAAACAATAGGCTGGATTGTGACCATTTTAAAATAAAAGGAAAAAAGAAAAGAAACATAATTATAAAAATAAAAAAATAGAAAAAAAGGTGTAAAAAAGGTGAAAAGGTGTGGTGGACTATTTTTTTATTTTTTATTTTACACGTTGTCACCCGTGAGGACTAAGATTGAATGCCTCTTTTCCAGTAAAATAGGTCTCCGGTTCTCACACACTCACCATACGAAACACAGCAGTGTAAGCTGCTATTTTACGCTGGTATTCTGTGAGAGCGTGGTCCTTTCCCGGTCGAGTCGACCCATTCGTGCTACAACTATACTACTAATATAGCTGTAGCATGGCTCTACCACGTAAATACTGTGTACTGGACCGTGTGCTCGTTTGTCACCCTTATACTATAAAAACAATGCTGTCACAAAATCTAACCAATAAATATATACACATGAGGAGTATTTAGACCCTTGTTATTCCTTTTTGCAGTTAGAGTTATAACTGTTTGTCAAAGATAGCTTTCCTTTGTTGGTATATTTATTATGTACTAGCTGACCCGGCAAACTTCGTAACGCCTAACAGTCGATTATTTCATTTTTTATTATTTTTTAATACTTATTCTGCTATTCGGGACACCGGGCCCGCTAGTAAGATAAAAAAAGAAAAAATAAAGTTGATAAGTCAACAATTACATTATGTCAAAAAATAAAAATTATAAAACACTATTGACAAATGTTGACATTAATAGTTATACGATACTAACGTACTTTGCGTGTTTTACCTTCCCGGAACCCCTCCACTAACACTTAAACTTTATGGTATGGTATTAAAGTTCAAATTGACTTTAAAGTATTATTACGAATCTTTTGTATCGGAATATAGAAAAGTGTTATTCTTAGACTTTTTCAGGCAATTTTTTAAATGTTTCTCTCCGTAAGAACCATCTTCGTACTTCAAGGAATTAAAAGAAAAAGAATTAACGAAATCGGTTCAGCTGCTCTCGAGATTTGCGCTTAGCAACACATTCAGCGATTCATTTTTATATTATAGATGGTGTTAAACAAATATATCAAGATAATTAATAGAATCAGGGGTCACTTTGCGGATATCCATTTTTTTTTTATAGGATAACGGTGACAAACGAGCACACAGTCCACCTGATGGTAAGTGGTTGCTGCGGCTAAACGTAGTGATTATATTCTCTTTGGCTGCGGCCCATAGACATCTACATCTATCCTCTATTACAAATCAAAATGTAGATGCGTTGTCACCCGTGAGGACTAAGATGGAATGTCTCATTTCCAGTAAAAAGGGCCTCCGGCCACCTGCACTCACCAAGCGAAACGCAGAGGTAAACCTCTACTTCACGCCGGTAATATGTGAGGTCGTGGTACCAACCCAGCTCGAGCCAGCCCATAGGTGCAACAGCAAAAACAAAATTTTTAATTATTTTAAAGTTGGGAAAAATTACCTTACGTACATCCGCTCGATATCGATATTTTATCGGCGGATGTACGCAAGGTAATTTTTACCAACTTTAAAATATATCAAGGCCAGAATGTGACGACGATCCGACAGTTTGTTAAAAAAAATAATTTTGCAAGTAGTTACTAGTATATACACAAAAAATTTGCAGCATTATTTCTTAAATTATTACAATACAAATTACAGAATCCGGTATGGCTGATTGCACCTTTCAAAGTAGATGACGTCAGTTCTAATAACTGTGGCCATATTCAATCAGATGAAGCTGATAAATCTAACCTCCATTTACACTCTCGCGCGAGCGGCTCGCCTCGCCACTCGCGGCGCTCGCGTCGGAGGCGGTTTTTTGGGCACGAGGCAAAGGGCTTCGCGAGGGACGCGAGCGTGGTGTTTAGACTCGCGCTCTCGTTTCAGTTTGTTTACGGCGCCCTTCCATAATAACATTCGAATTGCTTTTGTTTCAAAATTACAATTTTAATAAAATAATGTCATTTAATCTTGCACAATAGGTACTAGCAATTTATATAAAATTATGAAACTGAAAAGGTTCTGTTTCGATGAATAGATATCATCCACCATATTCTTCCTCAACGACGTTATTATTTTTGTATTTCCTTCTTTTTAAAATAGTCAAGCATCGATAAATACTTATTAAGACAAGAGTTGATGGCGCTATTATTTCAACGTCCTCCATCGTCGCTGGCTCAAAGCAAACTGAACGCATCGCAAGGGTGTAAACAGGCACTTGTTACCTCGCAACAACACGCGAGCTGCGAGGCAAGGTATGAGGCGAGGCGCGAGGCGAGAGTCTAAACGCGCTATAAGAATGTCCTATTGAAATAAACAAAAATACTTACACTGCCAAAATATTTGTCCAGTAGTTCCACATATCTGTGAATGAGTTCAAGTGTAAGGAGCTCATTGTCTTCCTGCTCCATTGCACAGCAGAAGTACAGTGATGCATATCTATAACAACGAATTTATTTTAAACTAATAACCCAGGTCATTAGAGGTATAACAATGAAGAATTCATGAAGTGAGTTCAAGAATTTGTGTAACAATCAATATTGTAACCATTTAGAAGTGTAGAAATATTCATTATTCAATACCATTCCGTGGGTTTTGAATAGGTGACAGAGGGAAATGAAATAGGATATGGGCATCACTATCTTTCTGATACCAATGTAAAATAAAGTTAGCGACCTGCCTGCAAAGTGTAGCAACTGTTGCAAATATGTCTATGATGAAAACTATGGAAGAGGCCTATATTCAGCAGTGAACTTTTATAGTTTGTAACTGGGTTGGCTGATTTAAATCAGACTGATTTAAATCTCTATTTAAATCACCTGATTTTGATTTAAAAAATCATTGATTTAAATCAACATGTATAAATTAATGTAATAGGCAAAAAATGAAATAAAACTGGCTTAAAATAGAGTAAAATCTTTTGTTGTTTTATGTTATTCTTATTATTCTACTACAATAGTCTCATTAACTTTGGAAAATCAACAAAGACGTAGCGATGAGATCTGTCAGTTTTAAAATCAAATTTTTAACTTTTTAGAAATTCACTCTTAATATGTATATGAACTGTAATTAATACAGTATGTATTAATTATTTTACTCTTGATCACTTTCATACACATCTATACAAATAAATAAAATTGAAGCTATGTAATGTCAAAATTGCGGCTTCTTACTAAATGCATATGAAAGTATATACGATACGTATAACAAAAATATTTTTTTTTAATTTTTGTCTGTCTGTCTGTCTGTTTGTTCCTGCTAATCTTTGAAACGGCTGGACCGATTTTGACGGGACATTCACTGGCAGATAGCTGATGTCATAAGGAGTAACCTAGGCTACTTTTATTTTAGAAAAAGAATTAGGGTTCCGTGCAAAAAAAACTAAAACCCCAAATAACACGCAGGCGAAGTCGCGAGGAACAGCTAGTGTATTCACAAACTTTTAATCCTACTTTGTTAAAAAGTGTTACCAACTCGTGAATTTCCAAATATACAAAAAAATCAAAAAATTCAAAAAAAATCAAAAAAATCATGATTTTTTTAAAAAAATCAGCATGATTTGATTAAAATTAAAAAAATCATGATTTTTTCCATCCCTGGTTTGTAATATATGAATGTAATTTATACCAATGCCACACTCTGTTGGTAATAATAACGCCTAAAATATTTAATCACAAGTAATTCAGTGCGAAATATGTTCCATCTTCCAATAGTTGGGTGTTAGTACTTGGTCCATAAAAACTCTACAATCACTCTTAATTTCATAGCTGTTAGACGGGAAAAGAAACTACAGTCTTTAGCGAATTTGACAGCATTCAGGCAACTGAAGACACAGATCTCCAAGTGAATGCAGCGGGACTTACGCAACTTCAATACAGCTCGTATTGAATAAGCGATCGAGTAGAACCATGGCTCCAAAGTCTTTGCCAGAGATCTGTCTGCCATAAATAGCCAACTGTCAAAGCTGAAGACCTAATGTGGCAGCATTATTTCCAATACACCTGAGATTTTGAGTGAGATTAAGAGATCATCACTAGAGCCACATGCAAGTGTGAGTAACGATCCAAAAGCAAGTATTCCGATGATATTCCAGTCTGAGAAATATTAGAATGGCTCTCCAGCACCTTAGGCTCAGCCCCACGCTTAGTTGCATTGTTTGACGGAGGCCTATATTCAGCAATAGACTATTCCTTGGCCTAGATTATCAAAATCCTAACCTTTGATCAAAAAGTGAAAACTATTAATATATATTTTTGACATTACGTACCTCTTATAAACAACTTTAACATCTTTCCACTCCAGGAATGAGCACATTTTTGGTTTGCGGGCAAGCACTGTTGTGATCAGCTCCCTAGTTATTTTCTTCTTTAGCTTGTCTGGATGGGCCACATACCATTTCTGCAATCGCAATTTGCCTTGTCGGCTAAACAGCAGCATAAATTGCATCTAGAACAAGATTTAATACTTGTTATATTAATGTTGGTATGTATTCATCATTGATGCTGATACACTGATGATGACAACATCTTCCAATGTAGTGGTGAAGATTTTTGAGGATATAATGTCATTCTATCTTTTTCAGGGAGAGGGATCAAACAATCATGCGGCTCACCTCATAGTAAGTGACTATCGCTGCCCATGAACAACTGCAACAGCAGGGAAATTGCAGATGCATTGCCAGCCATTTAAAAAGGAGTAGGTTCTTTTCATGAAAGTTAATAACTTTAAATTAACAATAACTTCATTTCAATGTTAGTAATATGTTCAATAATCTTAATAGTGTCTCCCAATGGAGAGGTCTTAAAATGAGCATGAACATAACAAAGGTTATGTAGAAACTGCCTCATTGGTCAAGTATTTTTTCTGCTTTTTAACTTCACTATTCATGTTAACTTTTCCTCGCTTAACTCCTTAAAATTGGTTATAAGTTTTGTACATGCCTTCTGAGATCTCTAACACTTAGTAATAATTAATTTTAGTAATTATTGTGTTTAATTTAACTTAGGTATTTTACATTTCTAAAGTTGCAGATTTAATCAAAAGTTTTAGTCCAATCTACAGAGAGAGAGCCGTGGTAGCTCAGATGGTTAGCGCTGCTGTAAGCTTCACAGTACTCGAGCAACCCGGGTTCGATCCCCGCCGGCAGCAATGAAATTGTTAATTGCAATTTTAAGTGTTGATTTACCACGTGCTCAGCGGTGAAGGAAAACATCGTGAGGAAACCTGCATGTCTGAGAAATAAGAAAAAAAAATATTTTTGAAGACATGTGAAGTTCGCTAACACGCATTGGGGCAGCGCGGCGGACATTTCCTTGCCCTAAAACCCTCTCAAAAATGAGAGGAGGCCTGTGCCCAGCAGTGGGACGTAAATAGGCTGGAACTTTACTTTACTTTACTTTACAGAGAAAGAGAATACAATATCTTAGTCATGTGGGTGATATGCATGGTTGATTTTAATAATGCTATTTGGACCATGTTTTGCAGAAATGTTTCAACCCAGGTAACATAAAGTTATTCAGATTTGAAAGATAAATGCATTTTTATTGAGGCAGAAGCGCTAATATAACATTTTATATATATAATTTTAAAGAAAATTTAAGGTAGATTGAGGGATTACTTGGTATTTTTCAGAAGTCTTTCATAATAGGAAATAAACTTAAAAAAAGGCTAAATATTTTGACCTGTTTTTGAGTTGAGTAATTTCTCAACGACACAGTCTAAATACTTGATAGTAATTTTCGTCTCGTTATTACGTGTTCTGCAACTTCAAAGCTTTTCAAATATTATCAAGAGTTAAATATACCTTTATGAAATAATTTAACATGCAAGGATGTTAACTCACCATCTCATGAAAATAATAAGCTATTCACTAATAACCAATGTCTATCTGAAGTAATAAAACTTGGCACATAATTCAATAGATCATATTTTTTTAAACTTAGTTTAATTCACAAACTAACTAGAAACACTCGGTGTAATTAAAATTCACAACCATTCAAAAGTTGTTGGAAGTTAGGAGTTACAACTGGTTACAACTCAAAACCAAAAACCAGGAAGAAAGATCATAGACATTATCCTCATCTGTTTAGTGTTTACCTGTCAGTACACTGACTTAGAAGTATTTTTTTTTTTGGAGTTTATGGCCTGGTATCTAGACCTTTAGGCCAAGTCTTAAGTATTTTTATTCGGTTTATTGTAATTTCCCCACTCCTTCATAGTATACTGCTTCACAATATGTTGATGCGTCACATTGTGCAGTTCTTGGGAGATTTTGGCGGCAACTTGATCCAGCAGACAGCTGATAGTTGGCGATGGTATCTAAAGGTGCCTATGCAAACAAACAGCTTATCTTGAGAATCCATCACCATCAGAGCACTTGTTTCACTGTTTCCACTAATAGTTCACATGCGTAGACACTTAATACACAAAATCGCAACACTTTTACATATCAAAGTCCACTTCAAAACATTATTTAAACAATAATACAGGAGCAGCAAACCGCCGCCGGTCAATTTCCCGCCAAAACTCCTGACTTAGAAGTATAATATGGACTGGGCATACCAAAAGAATTATCGTGACTACCTAAACAAATCTGGCGCGTAAAATGGCCGCCTTTTATAGGGTTGTAACTCAGCAATATGGGCAGCTGATATCGATATTTTTACTAATATAAGTTTGTTCTTATTTCATATAATTATAGAAATTAAATCTATAGCCTAATTTCGTAACACACCTAAAATGGCAAACTTACGAATTTGACAGTTTCACAACATCCACTGCGTGGTTTTTGTTGTCGAGCAAACGACTTTTTCAATCACATGAAGCAATGGATTTTTTGTGTTAGATACACAGTCAAACAATGAGTTAAGTTTGCAGGCAGCTAACTTGCAACTTGTTTTAAACAATGTTCTGAGTATGCTAAGTGCTTACTTATACTTTTTTTGGCGCTTTTGAGATAAATAATGAGAGTGAATTTTTTAAAATTTCAATTGGTAATTGTCTGTCAATTGTTAAGTTTTCCTGGGAACTGATAACTATATTCGAGGTAGTTATTCAAATATATATGAATGTATAAAACGTGTTTCATTTTAGTTATTTTTGTTTTATTACGCTAAGTAAGTATAACTTCTTACGTGCGTTCATAAGTACACACACACGTTTTGTTTTATATCAATGTGAACAAAGTTAAAAAGTTATAACGCACATAATAAAAATGAATATTGACAGAGTACTGGGAAAATGAATATTTTTGCTTGTATACCAAATACCTTTAGTATAGTAAACGTACAATAATATTGTACAGCAAACAAATGCATGGAGATGGGATGGAAATCCTCGATTTCATATTGTAATCCCATATTATATTATTTTTAATATAAAATAATAATGATTAGTTGAGTAAAAATTAAATAAACTGTTTTTAAAATCAATACTTATTTATTATTAATTGGTATATATAGGAACGTTCTACACATAATTGATCACAAATGATAAGTTATATAAGCATGTTCGGTCCTGCCTGATATCATTTTTAATTTTTTTAAATGAAAAATATTATTATTTTCGCAGGTACATTAATTTTGTTCATTTAAAATTCGAAAATCTGGCATGATCATGAAACGGTGGATGAAATATGATATCCAGGATTTATAAACTATTATTATTATTATATATTCAATTCTGAACAAAATTAATTTATTAAAATAATTTCTATCGACACCATGGATAAGAGAGTACGACACTATTTCATTGCTTTTTTGACAGTTTGACAGCAGATCTACTCAAAACTGGGCGCTTAACATGGCGGCGCAGTCACGCAAGGATAAGCTAATGACGTCACACGAAAGTATTACCAAAATAAGCACTTTACAAACTATAGATGTTTCTCTTTTCTATTGCAGCTACTGCTTTGTTAAAAAGAGACAAAACTGTTTTTGACAAGTGTGTGTCGATATTATAGATATTTGTATAACTATTATTTCTATAGTGGAATATGCCCTCTCCATATGTATATATCTCTATGTGTCAGTATCAGTCACTGACTTAGAAGCAAGGAGATTGTTATATTATAACCTCCTTGCTTAGAAGTATAGGTATATATCGCTATGGTATCAGTAGTCTTTTGACAGCTGTCAGACTCACAGATTACCTTTGAGCATAGAATTTTCTATGCTCAAAGCAGATTACTGTATACGTGTGACAAACGAGCACACAGTCCACCTGATGGCTGGTTTCTGTATTGACCTAAGTCTATGATACCAGGTCAGACTTATTGGACTAGACATGCCAACTAAAAAATCGGTACGTACAATATTCGATTCTTAAGAAAAATCGATATCGATTCCTTAGAGTTTGTAATCATTTGCAGTTTTGTTTCGATTAATACCGGAATAAACTAGAAACGGATAATTTAAAATCCAATTTATCAGTTTGTTCGTAGTTATCGCATGGTATATTATGAGGCACCCACTTATCCCGTGGGCACCTTCGAATAAGATACTACAGTGTCATCTGTCCAAATCTGCGGCACAGTGTGGTTGATATTTAACCACGTTTCATCAACAAATATGACGTCCCAATTGGTTATATTTTTCAAAATGTTAATTATTTTGCGTTTATCAATTTTTTTTGTATCGGAAGCTCGTCTATACTACGATTGTACAAGCCATCTACTAAACTTTTTTGCAACTTCGCCGCAGCAGGATATTCGACCCTTGTGAAATTGCCGTAGACATGGATTCTAACAGCATCTGCGTGAAATTGATTGATACAAGTTACTGATTTGTTGTTTTTTCCGGTTTTTCTGAAGTCCCATACTTTTTAGTGTAGGCAACACAACGGTGCGTTTGCTAATTTCAAGTGTTTCACCGACACGATACCGCAGCCGCACTTGTGTCACTGGTAAAAGGGGTCCACCATTTGGTGACTAACATTCGAAATATTCGTGTAATTTCACCACCAATGCACGAGCCTAACTTTTTAGTACGACTACTACAACTACGTCCTCTTATCGATATTATGATCAATTGCTTAGTCAGAATCCAGTATATAACTTACCGAAGATACAGTAGAATCAGTCCAAAAAGTTATAGCTGAGTCACAAAATATGAAGACAAACATAAAATTACAAAAGTACCCATAGTAAGCTCCCAAAATGGCGAGATATTGGAATTACGTAGTGTTTTTTCAGCGTGGCATTGAATATAAGTTTTTTGCCTACACACATTAACGCTAGCAAAGTAGAAAATTATAAAAAAAAACTTGTTTTAGTCATGATTCATAGAATTTAAGCAAATTCAAATATAAACATTTAAAGAAACAAAAATAATAAATTTAAAGATTATCCTATCTTTAAATTTATTATTTGAATATTTTTACCAATTATTTAATTTTTTTGCCGATTATTCGTACAATAATTAATTTTAATAATTCAAACATTACGGTAAAGAACACAGCGACATATCAATCATAGAATATACTGGCGTATAGACGTACTGACAGCCCGAAAACGCGTGACCAATTTTGATTTATCATTGTGTGCGTTAGCTAGTGATGTACATTTTACTTACAAGGACCATCGAAAAATGATTGTTAAGGAAGCGGTAAAAACATTAAAAAAATGTTAAATGCACGAAATTTAATAACTTCAAAAATTTACTGGATTTTACCATGATAGTTTTAAAATAATTATATAACATAATATTACATGTTCCCTGAAATAAGCTGAACCTACCTTTTTTTTTTATAGGAGAGGGGGCAAACGAGCATGCGGCTCACCTGATGGTAAGTGACTACTGCCGCCCATGAACAACCGCAACACCAGGGGAATTGCAGGTGCGTTGCCGGCCTTTTAAAAAGGAGTAGGCTCTTTTCTTGAAGGTCCCTAAGTGGTATCGGTCCGGAAAAATTGCTGATGGTAATCGATTCCACAAGGAAGTCGTGCGAGGAAGAAAACATCTTCTAAATTGCACAGTGGTGGACCGCCAATCATCCAGATGATGTGGATGGTATCGGGAGTTCTGCCGCGATGTGCGTTCATGAAATTTGGCGGCTGGGATTAATCCGAACAATTCCTCAGAGCACTCCCCATGGTAGATGCGAAAGAAAATGCAAAGAGATGCAACATCTCTTCGCAGTGCCGATGAATCGAGCCGATCGGAAAGGGCTCGGTCGTCGACGATTCGAGCCGCTCTGCGCTGGATGCGGTCAAGTGGAAGGAGCTGGCACTGGGAAGCCCCTGCCCAGAGATGGGAACAGTATTCCATGTGAGGCCGAACCTGCGCCTTGTAAAGTTGCAGGCGGTGTGCCGGCATGAAATACTGTCCCGCTCTGCTGAGCACGCCAAGCTTTTTAGAGGCCAATTTGGCCTTCTCTTCCAAGTGACCACGAAACTACACGTCACTCGATATGTCGACTCCGAGGATACCGATACTGGCTGAGGCAAGAAGGGGAGTGCCTTGAAACTGAGCAGATACGACAAAGGGGTTCTTTTTAGCGGTAAACGCGCAAACTTGTGTCTTCTGAGGATTAAATTGGACTAGATTTAGTCGCCCCAATCCGAGACTTTGTCCAGCAAAGACTCGACTTCAGACACAAGTTTGTTCCGGTACCCGGCGACCTTTTCCCGAGAAATATTGGCCCGGCCGGTGTATAGAGCATCACCAGTGCTGTCATCCGCATAGCAATGAATGTTACCAGTTAGCAACATATCATTGATATGCAGAAGAAACAGCGTTGGTGATAGCACACAGCCTTGTGGAACACCAGCGTTAATAGGCTTGTAGTCAGAACATGCACCGTCTACAACGACCTTGATGCTCCGATCTGCAAGAAAGCTGGTGATCCAATTGCACAATTTCTCGGGAAGCCCATAGGAAGGCAGCTTCGAAAGAAGCGCTTTGTGCCAAACCCGATCGAAGGCCTTCGCAATGTCCAGACTAACGGCCAACGCCTCCCCCTTGGACTCTACTGCCTCCGCCCATCTATGGGTCAGGTAGACCAGAAGATCACCAGCTGATCGACACCGACGAAAACCGTATTGGCG